TTCATGTTTGTGTTGTAAATTGTAGCAACAGTTGAAAAAGAAATTTCAGTTGCTAAAATTTTTGAGTTTCATTTTATGTTTCTGCAGCATCGTGTACAAAAAACTGGTATGGATGTCGGAAGTTAAATTTTGTTTTGTTATCATTAATAAGATAAAAAGCGAGTGACAAAATATGTTAAAAATCTAGCAAAATGTGTATTTTCAACAAGAGTATAAGAGCTTTAGTATCATGACATAAAAATTCAAATGTTTCCAGTGCCAATGTCAATCAATATTTCTAGTGCTAATTAAATGATCCGGAGATCTCCAAAGACCAATAAAAGACTGAAGATGAGCCTGAATGACAACTCTAATGATTGTACGGACTCATACACAAACTGTGAATGGCATGCCCTAAGATATAAACTTACAATTTCAGTTATGTTACTATTTCCTATTGCCGCGTAGCTAACCAGCAATATGTTATTAGTGCTTTATTTTTTCTTCACTTAGTTACTATATTATAATTAGTTACTATATTATAATTTATTAATCATTTATTATATTTTATATACTGTATTAATTATATTTTCAAATATTTTATGTCATATCTTATGTAAAAATTTTGTGTGCCTTGAAGTAAAATCCAATCAGTTTTCCTACTCACTTAACTCAATAATAACTAAATTTTCTGCTCTCACTATCTGGAGTGTCTTGGGTCGACGGCCACGACTCCCAGCCTTTTCAGATTCGGGGGATAATCTGTAATGATATTTTTAAATCAATTGATTAAATTAAATTCTAATCATATTCCTTAATAATGTGTTGGCGATTCTCTACCTAAATTGCATCCCTGTTCCTAAATTTTGGCGAAATCCTTTCTTTATTATAAATTATATTAACCTATTGGCACCTGGCAAATCGCCAAACTCATAAATCTGTCATATTACACAAAGTCATTAAGAACACTCCTGATGAGAAGATAGCGTCACCTCATGATTTCAATTAATATCGCCGATAGGATGAGCACCATGACACACATACAGGGGTTGGACAAAAATATGGAAACACCTTTAAAAAAACATGTTTCTTTGCTTAATATGGTGTAGGAAACCCGTTGGCATCCAAAACAGCTTGCAGTCTTCTGGAATGGATAAATACAGTTCCTGTATGTTTGCCAAGGGAATATTATACCATTCTTCCTGCAAAACGGTGGCAAATTCAGATAACGATGTTGGCGGTGGATAATGCGAACGCACTTTCTGTTCCAATGTAGACCACAAAGGTTCGATAATATTCAGGTCTGGTGACTGTGGTGGCCAGGGGAGATGGGACAACTCCTCCTCGTGCTCAGAAAACCAGTCCTGGACAATGTGAGCTGTGTGAACAGGGGCTTTGTCGTCTTGAAAGACACCATCACCATCGGGAAACAAAGTTTGTACCATGGAATGAACTTGATCGGCCAAAATGTTCACATAAGTCTTGGCAGTGATGTGCCCTGACACAGTTGTCATGGGGCTAGCAGAGAACCACGATATGGCTGCCCAAACCATAACAGAACCCCCGCCATGTTTCACTCTTGGCAACAAGCAGTCTGTATTATAGGCTTGAGATGGCATTCTCCAGACATAAACTCGGCCAGAAGTGGGAAACAATGGGAAAGAAGACTCGTCAGACCATATTACTCGCTTCCACTGCTCTATAGTCCCGGCTTTATGACTTAAACACCACCTTTTCCTGTTACGGGCATTAGCATCACTGATGAGTGGCTTCTCAATTGCAGCACGGCCAGCAATTCCCTGTTAATGAAGCTCCCTTCTAATTGTTTTGGTACTCATAGGGTTCGGTAACACAACATTCATTTCAGCAGTAAGATTTGCAGCTGTGGTCTTCTTATTTTTCGTCACAATTGCTCTTAATGATCGTGTGTCACAATCACTCAGGACACGTTTTCGTCCGCGCTGTGATTTAGCAGGTGATGTTTTTCTGCTTTTCAAACATGTGGAATAAATCTTCAATACAGTACCTCTTGAAACACTAAACACCTCGGCTACCTTGCTTATGGAAGCACCTATCATACGTGCTCCAACAATTTGCGGCACGTTCAAAGTCTGTTAACTCTGACATAATGCAATGACAACCTCACATAACAGTACTCCGACAACAACTGAACTGTTTAGCACATTTACGAAGTTGTATATGTGGCGTCAGTAGTCAAAAATGCCAGCGCCACCTACATATTTCATTAAAATCAATCTTTCTTTTCAAACATGCATTTCACAAGGTGTTTCCATATTTTTGTCCATCCACTGTATATCTATAAATAGGGCTTCTCCTCAAGGTACAGGAGGAATGCTTGTGAGATGGATGCAAAAATAAACGTATCACTTTATATTCCAAAATTTGTCTCATTCCTGTTGCCCCAGCTGCACAACATAAATAATGTATGAGATTGTACATTTCACATATATATATTTATAATTATATTTCTTATGCATTTTCACCATGGCTTTGCAAATCTATTGTTTTCAACATCAAGTTTACCTTCATTTATGATAAAAATTACCCCCCAACTTATAATAAAACATTTTTAAGCAATACAGCAGACATTTGATAGTAATTATGGAAGATATTCATCTCCATCTTAATTCCTCCTTTGTCTACAAAATCCCCTTTATAGTAATTAAAAGGCAGTGTTTCAAAAGAATAATAATAATAATAATAAAAAAAACATGAAAATGTTTGCTCAATGACACTTTGTCATATATGCAATGTGGGCTTATGTAAGCCCCCCCAAAAAAAAATACCAGAACTAGATGACATAAAATCAATAATGATCATTCTAAATATGAAGGTTAACTGTAGTCAGGGTGGCCACTTAAACAGGAGAATGAAATTCCCTGACATTTCCAGGTTTTCCACGTCTGTTCTAAGAAATTTCCAGTCTGTGTACATAATGTGTGTTGGCCGTGCTGAGGCATTTTTAATTTAGATGAACTTCTCTAAATTACATATCTAATAATAATTTAAATTAAAATAAGGTTAAATTTAGGATTTTGACGCCATAACTATTCTAATAAAAGGAAGAGTAATGGACAGAGCAGCAGTCTTGTAGCAGCGATAGTAGGAAGCAAACTGACGAAAAATGGCATGAACTCTGTATTTATACTATTAGTTATATAACATGCCAGAATGTTCTCGAAAGTACTGGTCGAGCTTTTAAACATTGGATTTTTTCCACCATTAATTGTTATAAAATTATGTCACAAATGGCAGCTTCATTGTTTTAAAAAATATTAAAGATAAATTCTGGCATGGAAGGTACTGTTTACAAAATGGCAGTAGGCAACCAGTTATATCTATCCTATTAAATTATATGTAACTACCGAACAATCACCCCATTAATATTGTGACACTTTTTAAATTCTGAATGGTGAAAAAAGCAGTGTTTTTTAAGAAGTCAACAGACTTTTGATGAAAAACTTTTAAAATAAGGATATGTAATACAAATTTAATTTAATTTTTTCTTAGAATTGAAGACCTCCCCCCCCCAAAAAAAAAGATGATGACGACATTTAGAATATTTCAACAAAACATTAATAGAAAAAAATACTAATGAAAAATTAGCACAAAACTAGATTTCTCGTTTCAATTCCCGAATAATGCTCACGCCATACATAATTCGACAAGTAAGTGATCGCTTCCAGCACGGGGGGGGGGGAATTTTTTGGAGACCGCCACATGAATTTCCCTGACTTTTCCTTGTTTTTCTGATAGCGTGGCAACATGTGTAGTGAAATATAATCCTATTTTGGATGAACAAGAGTACAAATATATTGTCAGAGATCATAAAAATTCAGTTTGCACAGAGATGCTTGAAGCTGAAAACAATACAGGGAATTCTTGTTCTGAAAGCAAATTTTCTCATACAAATGGTAATATATCAAGATTGGGGCAGCTCAGGTATGCAAGAATCTTCACAGTTAAGAATAATTTGGCATTATCTCTGCAGAATGATTAAGTTTACTGCAGACTAACCTAGAAGTCCAGTACAGACGAAGACCTTTCGTGGAAATGATAACTATAGGCATAATTACATCAAATCATCAGTACTCAGCTGAAAAAAAAAAATGCAACAGAATTTCAAACTTCTTACACAAATTATTCAGTCTTATATCCCAGCCATTTGATGTAAATAGCTGATTTCTATAATTACATTATTTTTACTCCCAGAGTAATATTTTTATTTCAAAAGGAGAACTATCCTTATAAGAAATGATAAACCCATTCTGTATAATGCATATGGAATATCTTATTTCAAAATATATACAATGAAATGGATTAAAAACTTTTTTTCAAAATAGAGTAGAATTTTTTCCCTTTCTTTTTTAACTCAACATACACATGGGTATATGCGTACTTTCTTTTCTTAGGATGCAAACTAATCTGACATTTAGTAACATAGCAGCTTCACATACAAAAGTTTTAGCAGTGCTGTTACAATAAAAACTAAAAATTGCAGCCATTCTACTATTAATTCAGATTTAATATAATTTGGTAAATATCATTAACTATTTATAAACTAGTAATCAATATATGGGGAAACCTCAACCAAAAGATACTAATGCTAAAAATAAGTAGTTGAAATGGTTTACTAACATAAATCTGAATACTTAAACCTGAATAATATAATCTGAATCTTACTAAACATAAAAAAGAATTTACATTTTCAAGAACAGAAGGAAATATTTAAAAAATATACATATTTCCCCACATATATAACTCCTTACAATATGTAATAAATTTATGTTACCTTTTTTAGACTAAATTCTTCATATCTGAAGTAAATCTATTATTGCTTTCAAAGTAACTTATGCATTATTGATGCCTACTGATCCAAACATATCAATACATACATATATATATACATATAATAGTCAAAGTATACATTACTTTTAAGATAATGAAATTAAATTTAACAAACTTTTAAATATATAAGGACAAAAAAGTTTCAAACAAACTTGTGATGTGGGAGAAAGTTCTCTTCTTCTGGAAATATCAAAAGATAAATTACGGTGAACTTCTTTCAGCGCAGGTAATTCTTGCAAAGCAGTGTCTTCAGGCAGAGGATATGTTTGTTTCCAAGATTCACCATTTTCTTCCACTTGAAACAGATGTTCTATTGCATTATGAAAGACAAAAGATTCTTTAATTATTATTTATTACAATGCATTACTTAAATTGGTTACAATCAATTTCATGGACATCTTCAGTATCAGTCATGCTGATTTAATAATGTTTGGTTTATTTGATTATGGCAAAACAATCAAGGACTATTTGCCTAAGGGGAGAGATGCCTTCACGGCAAGTTTTCTAAAGGAAACTGGCAAATATGAATGTTACACAGAGGGAAAACTATAAAAATGCCCAGGCAGCCAGCCCACTTCACTCTGATTCGAAACGTGAACCAACCTACCAGTGTTCAGCGACTTTACCACTCGGTCGTTGGTGGGCCTGATTTAAAAGAGAAAAATACATAGTTTTCTGGTTATAAATAACAAATACATAAATAACAGAACTAAAATAAAACATATTCATAACTTAATTTAAGAAAAGATTAAAAATCTTTCAAGTTACGTTTTCTGAAAAATTACTGATTAAACTGTTCATGTATTTCATATAACTGCTAATTTCATATGGGTAAAAATCATAAAAATTTTGAAAAATAATTCAGAAAAAAAAAAGTATAAAGGCAATTTTAGAGATACAGCTACACATTCCTCAGTATTTTGAAACACATATGGGGGGATAAATATTTATTGTAAAAAATGAATAATTAGACAAATGAAACTAGTTTTAAGATATTTACAGAAGTTTTTTTGCTTTTGATAAAAAGTAATTTGGAAATTATGCTTCATGACATTTATTACCTTATTTAAATTAATAATATATATGTGTGTGTGATGATTTATTTCACTGTAGATAACTTAGTATAAGAACATCTTGATTAGGGAATGCCGCAATTCACTTTTTAATCATGGCCAAGAAAAGTGCTGCATAGATTATGTAAAAGAATAGCTACGTAGAATAACGGTACAGCTGGATGACCAGGTGGAATTTGGGAAGAAGTGCAACCAGCTCTGTAGTTAAAAATCATTTAATTTTGGATGATGAATTTTTTAGCACATATATCTCCTTAATTGGTAGAACACTAAGGGTGTTAAACACATCCCATAGTTTTAGATACACAACTAAATGACCCGGCAAACATTGTTTTGCCATATAAATTATTTCTAGGGAATATTTTGGTAGAAAAATATAACTAATTGTAAGTGTGATGATGTGGTACATGAATGAAAGAGGCATGGAGTGCTGTGAACGATGACGGAATATAAAAATAACAAAACTCCATTTATTTTTTTTTATTTATTGTAATTTATTCTTTAAAATTATATATATCACTAATTATGACAATATCACTAAAAACAATATGAGTCCCTTAATACAATAGAGTTTACAATATCTTTAAACACAAACAAACCGTGTGGTCTGCCCACTCGAAATCATGCCATGTATAATCGTCCGTGTGAAAAACATGGTGTGCTCAAATCTAAGCTACAAACAGACATTGTTTGGCCTTGAGACTTATTGATAGTCATTGCAAATGCCAATCTAATTGGAAATTGAAGACATTTACATTGAATTGGCATATCTGTGGGTATAATAGGGATTCGTGGTAGTAATATATTTTCACCTTGGAACTTGCTATTTAAAATGATGGCTTTGACAATGTTTTTCATTAATTTTTTAATGACTAATCGTGTGCCGCTGCACAGCCGTGGTGGGTTCCAATTACGCAGCAAAATAACCCGCAAATCCAAACCTTCAATGGTAAATTACGCGGTGGCATGCCTTGCAAATCCAATGAGTTTAAAAACTCTGTTGGATAATTCACAGCTTTATTGGCATCGCAAACTGCATCAATAGATTTGTATAACACCAAGTACCCTGGTAACAACTGTTGTATCTTGAGATTCAAATCGTTGACATCCACATTTTTTGCTGCTAAAATTGCTCTTTCTGGCAGCCCATGGTTAATGTATTGTGTGTGTACATCGGGAAATATCTGGTCAATGAGAGCATCTTGCAAATTAATGATTGCACAGAAATCGATCAGTAATTTTACGCATCCAGTTTCATCTATAGTACATTTTCCATCGCTAATATCTAACAGTTGTTTTGAGAATGTTTCAGCGGATGGATTTTGAAGCACTTGAACGTGCATACTTACTTTCAGTTGTACTCACACACACACACACAAAAAAAAAAAAAAAAAAAAAGGAGGTTCAGATTTTAAACTACGTCCAAAGAGACCTTTTTTTAACATTTTGTGTGTAGCCTTTATTTATTAAATATCATGTTCTCTGCACTTAAATCATAAAATTGAGTTCGACAGCAATATTGCAAAATAATTTTAAAATGAGCATATCTTTAGAATTTCCAATACACAGTTCCGCGCACTGGAGATTAAAAACGTTCCCCCACCCCCGGTAGAGTGTTGCCATTGCTCGCTTTTAAATCGTTGAGTTTATTAATTAAAACTTTGTTCAAGTTTTACAAAATATGAAATTGATATTAAAACAAATTCCGAATTTCAAATTTGGGCTTTCACATTCTCACATTCATAGGAGTATTACATCATTCAAAATTCGATGGCTCTATGTTCCGTTGTTTTATTACAATGCGAGAAATATACATACTTTATGCAGATTCTTCATTATTTAATTTCGTCAAATATAACACAGGGTGATAGTATTTGGTGGCAACAATTTGAAAAGTGATACGCCATTTATAGGGTTCTGATGCAAAATTGCAAAACGAAAACAACAGTCCTTCAGGGACGAAGCCTTTTTGCACTAAAAAAGTGTAAAATTCAGGAGAAAAGATTTTTACATAACAAGATCAGAAAACTAGGTAATTTTTTGTAAAAAGTGTGAAAAATTCATAAAAGTTGGCAACTATAATTTTATTTCTTGGAAAAAGTTAAACTGAAAACAACAAAGTAAAACTGTTTTCTCTTTAATAGTTAGATTTTTTTTTTAGTGAAAAAAAATCTTACCTATAGAACATAAAAGTTTATCTTCAATTTTCAAAAGTACATTTAATAATTCTATAAGACAGGATAAAAGAAGCTGAGAACTCTGAAATGGGAAAAAAGTACAAAAATTTTTGCATTTCAGATTATAAATAGATTATTATATTTTAGATTATAGAATATTGTATAGCTTTCAGAACAAAAATTTTGATTTTCACTTTAAAACAAATTTAAGGTACTTGCATATTATAGCAACCATCTAGATGCAGTTAGCCAAATTTTACAGAAGGAAAAAAAAAAAAAAAAAAAAAACTCTTTTACTGCAAAAAATTATACTTTGCATACAAGCATATTACTATGTTCATATTCTATATTTCCACTATGCATTTATTCCAAAAGGCGACCAGTAAACTTAATTAAATTGCCTTTTGTTTTTGTTGTGGTGAAAATTTTGTAGCAGTTGCTTTGAGAAAGAATTGAAAGTATTATTAAAATCGACTTTAACACATAAAATAATACTAAGTTTTCTAAAGAGCCAATAAAAAGAACACACACACACACACACACACACACACACACACAAAAAAAAAAAAAAAAAAAAAAACATTTACGGAACCCCCCCTGGCAACATTGGAAACTGAATAATTGTCATGGGTATGTTTGCCTGAATAACTGATATGTGCATGTTTACCAGCATTTGGTGCATTTCCAAACTGGTGATTTCTACTAACATGGTTGTCATAACGTGTAAGTACCATATTAAATATGCATCCAACAACAAGACACTCATGCTGAATTAAAATAAAGAATAAAAAAATATACCTCAACACATGCAGATAATATATCTTCATTAATTTTGAGCCAATCACATAATACTTTTAAACATGGCAAAAGAGTATTTTTCTTAACAATCTGGATAAGCATTTCAGGTGACAGTGAAGAATGTTCAAGAATCCTAAAGAAAAACAAAAATAGCACAAATTTAATTATAGTCGAAAAGTCTATGAAATATTTTAATAAACAAGAAAAACAGTACAAGGCCGTAAAGTAAATTTTAATTTGAGATGTATGACAAGGTTGCCAAACAGGAGAATGAAATTCCCTGATTTTACTAGGCATGTTTTAAGAAAATTCTAATCTATCCACATAGTGCGCATTGGCTGTGCTGAGGGTAAATTAATTATAGTAGCACTTGAACATGAACACAAAATTAATGCTAATTACATATCAATTTGAATATGTATATATAATCCCCAAAGCATTAATACATGGTAACCATAAACATTCTTGCCATTTTGGACAGTCAGAAGGAAAAATGTCATAAAACAAATAATAATCACTGCTAGTCCTCAAAGTAATCACCATCGGCATTCAGTGGCTTTTACCAACGAGTGGCTAGCTGTGCGATGCCAATCGTCCAAAACTCAGGAGTCTTGGATGCAAAGAAGTCCGTGAGGGTCTTTTTGAGGTCTGGCCATTTGTTGAAGCATTTCTCAAGAAGATGGCTGTCCAGGAAATGGAAAAGGTGGTAGTCTGTTGGTGCTGGATGGGGTAGTGTCTCCCAGCCCCGTCGCTGGATGGTGTCATTGGCCTCCCAAGCCACATGCGGGCTTGCATTGTCATGGAGAAGGAGTATACCCTTACGATTGACCAATGCTGGCTCTTTATGCAACAGTGTCTGATGCACACGCTCCAACTGTTACCAGTATGGGCCTGCCGTGATGGTTTGGCCCACTGACACAAGCTTATTAGTGCACCACTTGGTGACTAGCCCACCAGATACAGAGCATGATTTTGCATGGGTGCAGAGAAGGTCATGCAGTGTGAGGTCCCGTGATTGCAACCAATGCCTGGAACGTCTGGGCGTGTCCTACTGGACCCACTTTTCATTGCTGATGAGTACTCTATCAAATATGGGTCCACTGCGGTGCTGAGTAAAAAATGACAAACAGGCAGCAGCACACTGTTGCTTGCTTCGGACAGTGAGTGCGGTGCTCAGCTTATATGCTTTTCCTATGCAGTGCAAATGGAGTCTAATTGTTTCATCAGATACCTGGAAGTATGCAGCAAGCTCGTCACATGTTTGGCTATTGTCACTCTCTATGGCTGCTCTCAGGGCCTCATCGCCCAGCACTTGTGGCCGACTGCTGCATTGTGCATCACTAAGAGATATATCCCCTGAACTAAGAGATATATCTGAACTTCTGGAACAGTTGCCTAGCAGTTTGTTCTTTAACAGCATCCCCAAAAGCCTGGCAAATTCAGCGACTTGGTTCTGATGCTGACAGGTCCACTTTAAAATCATACAGCAAACAACACCGAATGAGCGCTTTTGACGCATCCATTTCAATCAGTCGCTATGAGAGTTATGCTGGGGGGTAATGTTACCCACGTCCATAATTATCCTTAAGTCACACGTGCCCCCTGGGTGGTGCTAAATGGGTAACTGTGACAAAGTCTTGTGGCATACAGGGATTTAGTGGGATGAGATTCGGTCTGATGATGAGTAATCTATCTTATGACAGCCCAACGGACAGCTCTTTAATGGGAAAACCGGCGATTGTGGGGAGGATTTGAAACTCCGAGGACCTTTGATCTGGAGAGGAGGGGTCTTGGAGGAAGCAGCCATGTAGAGGATACAGGAGAAAAGCTGAGTTTTGCGTCTCAGGCCGCCAGATAGTACAGGAGCTCAGGGCAGCCTAACCAGCATGTCCTAGCTGCTCTATCAGCTGGTATATAATCTTGCCTGCCTTGTAGTTGCAGGTGGTGCCTGGGTGGGGTCCTGCATGGCAGAGTGGGGGGCTCTTCCAAGGTCACTGCTGGCTGCTAAATCTGGGGCTAACCCCTCCAAACTGGCTCTTAGAAAATCGGAAGGAATTTTTCTCCCCCCTTTTTTCAATCAGATACCAAAATGGATGCTTGCAATATAAAATTAGAAAAAAAACGCATCTTCTGAAACCCCCACTATAACCACTGTAGCTCCTTCTGAGGAAGTGAATGCACCCTCGGGTGCGGATGCTCTTCTCTTCAGGACTACAGAAACCAGAACAGAACGCGTTGGAGAAATGAAATTCCAGCTGAATATTTCAGAAACATTAAAAACACAAATTGGGACCTTTATAAGGACTCCCTTGTTTCTAATGTCATTAACCTTCAGGTTTTAGACAATAATTGTACAGTCGAGGAACTTGATACTCAAGCAAACAATCTGACAAATATCATTATTGAATCTTATCATGCATCATGCCCTCTCAAACGAAGGAAGTACTCTCCTAGCAAGAGAGTTTGGTGGACCAAGGAGCTTGAAAGCCTCCATCCAGAAGTTCGGAGAGCTCACAGGAAAGCAGTCAGAAATAAATCTGAAGTTAACTGGTCTAACTTCAAAATTCTACAAAGGAAATTTAAAAGTGAAATCAAGAAAACTAAATACAACTTATGGAGATCGTTCTGCACAGATATTCTGTCCTACCATGAGACTGCCAGAGTATATAAGATTCTTAAAAGATCTCAGGAGTCTCGACTCTCATCGGTTATGCAACCTGATGGCAGTTATACTATAAACCCTTTAGAAACACTTTTGACCATGTTGAATTTTCATCTGGGGGACACAAGTGTCCTCAGGAGTTTTGACTCTCATTGGTTATGCGACCTGATGGCAGTTATACTATAAACCCTTTGGATACACTTTCGACCATGTTGAATTTTCATCTGGGGGACACAAGTGTCACCTCTGACCCCCAAGAAAATGCATTGGAACTACTTCATAATCCATTAGATTTGGATTTTGCTAAGACAATAGTGAACTTTGAAAAGGCTAAAGTGGCCCTTCATGTATTTCTTCCCTTTAAATCTCCAGGGAACAATGGCATTTACCCAATTCTGGTTCAGAAAGGCTAGGATATTTTTGGCCACATTCTCCTGGACATATTCGAATCCAGTTTGGTTTTAGGATATGTTCCTAAGGTGTGGAGAATTTCACGAGGTGTGTTTCTTCCTAAACCAGGAAAAGATACATATGAGAAACCAAACTTATTTAGAATGATTACTCTAACATCCTTCCAGCTTAAGCTGTTGGAGAGATTGATTTTCTGGCACCTCCAGTCAGATAATAATCTGAACCATACTTTTGGCTTAGACCAACACGGTTTTAGGCCTGGCTTCTCCACTGAGTCGGCCTTACACCAACTCGTGTGGAGAATAGAAAAAACAATTATAGACGGACACTTTGCCATTGGGATTCTACTGGATATTGTAGGAGCCTTTGATAACATCGGTTTCGAGAAAATACATAAGGCCCTTACTGGAAGTCATATTCACCCTATGATTACTAGATGGGTCATCTTTATGATTAAAAACAGGAATATCTGTGTTAGTCTCACTGACTATGAAGTGAAGAGAGATATTACTAAAGGGTGCCCGCAGGGTGGTATTCTTTCTCCGTTCCTGTGGAATCTGATATTCGACTCACTCTTAGTACTTCTATGGGAGGAACCTCGCATGTCACAGGCTTATGCAGATGACCTTATTGTGTTATTACAGGGTTTCGATATCGAAACCCTACACAATCAAGCTCAGCAGATCTTGAATAAAGTTTCACACTGGGGTGAAACAAATGGCCTATCTTTCTCTGCTGAAAAATCTGAGGTCATAGTTTTCACGTAGAGAAGGAAATGGAAACTGACAGATTTATATCTGGGTAACCAGATTATCAAACGTAAGGAATGCGTTAAATACCTAGGATGTTACCTGGACAGTAAACTTACATGGATCACCCATATAAAAGAAAAGGCACAAACAGCCACAAATGTTCTAGTACTTTGTAGGTGAATCGTTGGTAAACAATGGGGCCTTAGCCATAAATCTACTCTATGGATTTATACTGCCATAGCCCGGCCAATGCTTTCTTACGGATGCGTGGTCTGGATCAATGTTATTAACAAAAGCACATATTTAAATATTTTACAAAAGGTGCAAAGACTTGCTTGCCTATGCATTAGTGGGGCTTTAAATAGTACCCCTACTGCTGCGTTAGAGTTTTTATTGCAAATTCCACCCTTGAAATTATTCTTGAGGGGAGAAGCAATTAAAGCCATGTATAGATTGAATAAAAATGGCACATGGTGCCAAAGGACAGGTTTTGGTCATAAAAGCCACCTGAAAAGCCACACTGACATATGTCTGGACTTGGGCAATGAGATCCCTATAATCTATATGCCCAAAGATGCAATTACTAAAACAATAGTTCCAGATAAACTATTCTCAACTCATATACCAAAAAGGAATGAGATAGAATCTCTAATTGACCTAATCCCAACAGGATCAGTTGAATGCTACACAGATGGATCAAAATCCAACTTCACTGGAGCTGGAGCCATTATAAGAACCAAGGGATCCGGAGAGGATTTCATTAGATTTCATCTATACCTGGGTAAACTAACAACTGTTTTCCAAGCCGAGGTTCTGGCAATCAATATGGTCGCCAGGGAGCTCTTAGCTGAAAATACAGTTGATAAGAATATATATATTCTCTCTGACAGCCAATCAGCCATCCTTGCCCTGGCTAATCGTGTCAAGTTACAAAACTGTGTTTTGACCTGTACTCAAGATCTCAATTCTCTGGCTCAGGCCCATAATACCATTAGTTTAGTCTGGGTCCCAGGTCATTGTGATTTTGCTGGAAATGAACTAGTTGATAAAAGTAGCTAAAGATGCTTCGCAACTACCCATGTTTGGCCCAGAACCATTTTATCCAGTTTCATATCAAACTGTTAAAAAAAGAAATAAGAAGCTGGATAAAGAACAAACATGATGATATATGGTCTAAACTACCAGACTGGGCTCATTCTAAGTTGGTGCTCAGTACACTTAACTTATCAGGTAAACTCATACACCTCAGTAGAACTAACTTACACCAGGTAATTCAAATTGTTACCGGACATGCTTATCTGGCTAAGCATCTCCACAAATGTGGTCTTGTCGAATCTCCTCTCTGCCCAGCTTGTGGAGAAGAAGAGGAAACACCTTTTCACTTTTCTGGGACGATGTCCGGTGTTTTCTGTCCCTAGAAACAAATTCCTTGGGTTTCCCTATATTACCTTTGATCAAGCCCTTCTATACAAAGGGCTCTTTGGCATAATAGGGTTTCTGATGTATACTAAACATCTACAGGTAAGGTGAATTTGAAACCACAAGAAACAAGCATCAAGACGCCCTGTGAGTTTTTTTTTTTTTTTTTTGAAAAGAAACTATGCAGGAATTTCCCTCTCATAGCTTTGTTTTGGAATATAATTTGAAAATAGATATCAAATCTTTATACACTACCTGGCCATTTGGCTTGAGAAAGCACCTCTGCCTTCCTTATTTAATTTTTTTTTTTTTTCCCCTCGCCATCACACTCTTGTTTGGTCAAGAATTTGCGTTTGGTGGTTTGGGAGGGATTGAATTGGCTCTTCATCCAATAGGGAAGTTTTCACGATTCAACCGACACCCTGAATTTAGAGATGGGATCTTTTGCTGATACTATAGATTTGGTGTCAGTTTGGGATCTTATCTATTTAATTATTACTTACCTTTCATGGGAGTTAGCATTTAAATCCCTTGATTTAAATGATCAAATGGCGGAAGAGTAATGGGCAATATTGCCTAAACTCTAAACTCTAAGAACTTTTTTGGTTACCTTGTATTATAACTATAACAAGAATTGTTTTCTTCACTGAGGATTGCGATTAGAATCTGCCCATTTTGGATTTAAAAATGTCTTTTTTTGCTGATATTTGCAGCTAAAAGACATAAAGAAATCTATTTAATGATATTTCAAAATAAATTCAAGTATTTTATGTTTATTTAAAAGCATAAATAAGTAAAAAATGTGTGCACAAAATTTCATGATGGTATGTCATCATACAGCTAGAATTAATTTCAGGAGCATGCCAGAAAAAAATTGCCCGAAATTTAAAGTATTATAAACTAATAATAAATTTGGAAGGAAGAAGCAACATTAAATGATATGAACTACATTAAGTTAATTAAAGACTAAAAATTGAATTACAATAACCATTGGTAACCATTGGTATTTTGGGTAATATAGATACATGAAATGGTTATCTTGGATGACTGATTATTATTATCTTTTTAATTTTACTGGAAAATAACAAATAAGGCATTTATTTAAAAAAAAAAAAAAAAAAAAAAAGATTTAAAAGATTTTGTTTTATATGAGAATAGGAAGGGTGATTTTCTTTCATTCAACATGCATTGCACAAGCGCATGTCAGTGTCTGGATTTTTGAGGTTACTGGAAATCAAGAGATACTGGAACCTTGCTTTGCCTTTCTAACAGATAATCTGACCGGTGCTGGGAAAACTGGCTCTATGCTAGCTGCCTGAATGGCAACTGCCAATTTTGGGGAATATAGATGCATGAAATGGTTATCTTGGATGACTGATTATTATTATTTTTTAAATTTTACTGCAAAATAACAAATAAGCCATTTATGAAAAAAAAAAAAAAAAAAAATATATATATATATATATATATATATGATTTAAAAGATTTTGTTTTATATGAGAATGGGGGAGGGATTTCCTTTCATTCAACATGCATTGCACAAGCACATGTCAGTGTCTGGATTCTTGAGGTTACTGGAAATCAAAAGACAGTGGAACCTTGCTTTGCCTTTCTAAACAGACAATCTGACCTGTGCTGGGAAAAACTGCCTCTATATGCTAGCTGCCTGAATGGTAACTGCCAAAAAAGTAATTGATTCAAATGGTGTAAAAATCGCTTTTTGGGGATCGCTGTATTAAATTCCCTGCTGTTTTCAGATTTTGAATAAATATTCAAGTTTTCTAACTTTTTTGGTCAATTTTTGAATTTCCTTACTTTTCCCGGTTTTTTAGATAGTGTCGCAACCCTGGCATGAATTTTTTAGAATTTATGCCTTTTCTAAAGTTTAACCTCAAGTAAATAAAAATTTAAAGCAGTACAAACCTTCCCTTTCGCACTGCTTTACTTTTGTTACAGGAACAAATACTGCTGAAATACAAAATGAGAAAAACACAAAGCAAAAACAATATTCTCCTTTATTAGGCAGCATTTGCCCATACCATCCATCTGCAATCATGTAGTGTATCACTCATCTATAGTCATTAACTTAGTTTTAGTGAGTCAGTTCTCAAACTGTTACATGAATACTAGATCACCCAGAGAAAAGTTCAGATATGTGCACTGAGGCAAATACCTGCTTAGCCAGTAGGACTTATGCCTTCTACAGCAGAAGTCATTCTGTTTAGTTGAGCTCATTTATGTGCATTATGATGCATAATTCAAATGCAAGCCAAGTCTGTGTATGATAACCAGAAAATTAAACCAAATTCATGATTTCATTAAAATATTCATGAAGAAGTAAATAAGTTTTATTTAGTTTAAAAGATGGAATGCAAGTAAATAATTTGCATAGGTCTAGATGGGATGCTTGAGGGCCATTGTGTAGTGGCTAGCATGTTGTACAGCAGCACCACAGGTCCAGGGTTTCATCCCCGGGCTGAGCAAGGTTGACCTTTCATCCTTTGAGGGTGTCAATAAAATGAAGTATCAAATTTGCTTGGGGACTAAACACTGGGGGTCTTGTGACAACCTGAGCACTCGTCCCGGCAAAATGCACAAACACTCTGGGGCCCATGTTCTAGACAGCGGATATCAGGCCATTGCTCGCCATGGCTCAAGGGCTGTTTGTGCCGCCGAGTTCAGTTTAGTTTTTAGATGGGACTCTTACACAAACCTTCTCTCTTGATAAGAGAAAGTAGATTCAGTTTCAGGATTATCAAACATTTCACTGAAATTGGTTGAAATAACTGTAATTTTCAAATTTAAGTGTTACTGATTAACAGATCATGGTAACTGGATACAACCTCCTCTACAGCTAACTGTTTTAACACTGTGGTTTGATTTTGCTGCTCGCTAAAAAAAGTATTAAATTTAGGTACTTCCTGATTATTCACACCTTGATTTCAATATTCAATAGAGTTGTCATGTTTTTGATGTAATTTCAAGTACAAACACAGTAACAGACAACTCACTAATGCATGTACCATCCATGGATTCGAACACTTTATATTTAACCATCTCATAAATTTTCCTGCATCTTACAAACTACTTTATTATTATTAATGAACTTAACAATACCACTGAGCCATTAAAATAGGCAGGCAAACATTTTCTCTAATTGGCAAAATTACTAATATAAATAATACGGAATTTATTTCTTAAAAACCAATCTTTTACGAGGTTTTAATATCTGTAATTCGATGGGACACACTTATGCCAGTTTTAAAACCAAATTTAAAATATTATGTGAACAAAATTAAAATTCCAAGAGTCTTCCTTAATCACTTTACCGGCCCATGGTGGATTCTGGTACTAGCTCTCAAGAGAACAGGAAATCCTCTAACGCCATATGTTATGAGTTGACATAGGGGTGCAAATAATAAGAAAATACCTAAATTAATTAATTACGTATGGAAAAATAAAAAAAAAGTTCCACGAAAAAAAAAAACACAGAATAAGAAAATCTGAAAAGTTTCAGATTTTAAATTATGCTCCAAAGGGGCTTTTTTTTAACGTTTTGTGTGTTATATTAATTTATTAAATATGTTCTTTGCACTTAAATCAAATTTCAGTTCAACAGCAACGTCACAAAATAATTTTAAAACGAGCATATTTTTAGAACTTCTGATACACAGTTCCATGCACTATAGATAAAAATGTCCCCCCCCCCTGTAGAGTGCTGCCATTACTCGCTTTTAAATCGCTCAGTTTGTTAATCAAAAATTTGTTAAAGTTGTATAAAATATGAAATCGATAATAAAACACATTCCAAATTTTAGATTTGGGCTTTCAGATGCCCATATTCACAGTAGTATTATGTCATTAAAAATTGGATGGCTCTAGTTTATCACAATGCAAAAAACGTACATACATTTATGCAGATTTTTCATTATTTAATTTCTTCAAATATAATATAAGGTGATATAGTATTTAGTGGCAAACAGCCTTTTAAAGTTTACAGCGCAAAATCACAATACGAAAGCAATAGTCCTTCAGGAACAAAACCCCTTTGCTCTAATAAGTTGTTTGTATTTCAGTATTAATTTCTATTTTGAGTACTGGAATAATAATTTTTAACTGAAAAAATATGAATGTAATAATTAGTAAAAAGATAAATGGTAAATATAATGGCAAAAATATTAAACAAAAATTAAACACTAGAAGCATAAAAGTTAAAACTTAATGCCTTGAAAAAATAATTACATTAAGAAGATATTCTAGGTACAGAAAAATTAGAGAAGAGATAGTTATTTTTTTTAATAAGTTAGTTAAGAGGCAGCTTATTTCTTTTCAAATTATTATATCTTTAAAATATAGACTACAGAATATTTTCAAAAGGTGAGTAATCAAAAATAAATGCCAGTATTTTTAATGTATTAAAAAAATTAAAATATTGAGAAAGTGGCAAAATTTATTATTAATAAAGTAATAATTTTAATATATTAAATTAGTATTTTTCATGTACTGATTTCAAACACTCACCTATCTACATCATCAGCAGTATATCTCTCTGTATCAGCATTGTAACTAGCTTCTTTTGCTTCACCATTACTGGTAATATCTGTAGAACCATTAGCTACAATAAAATTTTTATCTGAATTCACATCCCTTTTATGTTTTCTATAGAGAAAATGAAATATATTAAAAATTTCTACTTAAAATATTAGTTTGGAAAAAACATGAAACTTTAATTTTACATTTGAAGATTTGAATTGTGTCTGTTTACAACATTAAAATTAAGATAGAAATTATTAACCTTAATTAATTAAAAATAATTAAACAGTTAATTCTTTTTTGATGAAGTAATTTACTTTACAAGTTTCTCAACATTTACAATATCTATAAATATGCATGTTCTTGACGAAACTTTGAACTATATTATTAGTGACTTATGAAATGAAATGAACACATCTGAAAAAGAAGAGTTTTGTTAGTATGTTAGTAGTTACTATATACTACTATAGAGACTAAAAATATAATTTCAGAAATGCACATAACTTCAATTTAATATCTTTTGGTCACTATTTAATACCTCTTGGTTGTCTAATTTTTCTGTCTATGATACTGCCTTCGTTTATTACAAAGAAACATGACGTTAATTTTTCTTACAACATATAACAGTTCTGTGAAAACTCACATTGTATGCACATACAATTTAAATATTCCTTTCATTACAACTTTTGCAAAATTTCCTTTCATAAAGCTGATCCATACTACTATGAAATCTTAGTTCAATTATTAAATTTTAATATATACTTAACTCCTAATGATTTAAACATAGTATTATTTCATATTAAATAATTTTTTATTAAAATTTCACAAATTAATTGTACTAGCTTAACACTTCTCACCCCCTCCTTGTAAGATAAAACTAAAAACTAGAGAGACAAATAAACAAAAATAAATAAATAAACAGTTTTTTATGCATATAATTAATCAAATTCTAAACACAGTACACTACACAATAAAAAGAGATGATAAATTGATAAGTTAAGCGAATGTAGCTAGAATTTAAGTAAGATGTTAATTAATATATCAAACTTTAAAATAATAATAATAATAAAAAAAACTGAGAAACAAGAACTGCATTACTCTTCATTATTTATATTATTTTGTTCCAGTAATAGCTCATCTTCATTTTCACTTAAACTTTCACTACTGCAGCTTCCTGTTTGGCTGACATCAGAATTCAACAAAGCACTTTCTTCATCTGATTCAGGTAAATCAGCTATTTCTCCTTCTAAAAAATTAAATAATTAAGTGTGACAAATACATGCATACCCATTTTTAAAGCATTTTTTAAAAATAATATTATAACACAAATTTTAGAAAATAATGCAGTGCATAAAATAATATAAACAAAGCTAAAAATTTACAAGCAATTTTTGTAACTCAAATTAAAATGTATGATAGAATTGAAAGCAATATAATAAATTTAGAGTTACCAAACAAATATGTGACAAATGAAAAAAAAAATGATGTAGTTTTGTCAAAATACAAAGGGTACTTAAAAAGTTTTTTGACACATAAAGATTATAAAAAATGCTGAAGTTATTTCAGTGATAAATTTTTGAAGTATCCTTCAGATAGTTCATTATACTTTTTAAACTTAGGAATTGGAATCTGAAAGTTCTGCAATCATTCTTTAGAGGCACTCTTTATTTACTCTTTCTAATATTTTTCTGTAATATCAACTGTGATTCTAGAGCAGAAAATCATGTTTCCACTTGTATGGAACAAAAATAAAAAGTCACATGAAGCAAGGGCATGCAGATACATTCAATTGATATCCTTTAAAAAACATTCAATGATTTGAACCCTAAAATCTGTTGTACCATCATGATGCACCAGAAGTTTCAATGCTTGATTACTAATTTCTCTGTTTCCAAAACCTTTTGGTCATATACCAATACAATGTGACTTAACACTTTAGTTTCCAAATTAAAATAAGCCTCACAGTTTGCTTTAAAAACAGCTGTGTCTCGACTAACAGCTGTAGCCATCCCTCGGTGTTCTGCCTTTTTTCCATTTTGACTTTCATTTTGAAAATTTCACATGACGCACTGATGATTTATTTCTCATTTGAAACAAAAAATTCAAGTTTTATCCCTAATTAGGATTTCTGATAATGTAACATTTATTTCTTATTTTACTTCCAACAAATTCAATTCCAGATAATGAGGAATTTAAATTATTAGTCCTTCTTTAATTCAGAGCTATTTTGAAGAACACTTTTAATATCTTGCAAATTTTTGCAAAATATTTGCTTTTTAAAGAGGAACAATTGTGGAGATTTTGTTTTACTAAAATTTTTACAGGAAGCAGCATTTTCAGACATCAAACAGCCACTCTGATTAAGGGAAATACCAAAGAGGAATCTTCTATTGCCAAATTTCCATAAGTCAACTGCAAACTGATTTGACTGAGAAAAGCAGTTTTGAGATTTTAATATAAGTCATAAAATGTTGCAGACCAAAACAGCATAACTTGTATTGAGAACAGAAGTGATTGTGACCCCAATAAAAAAAACTTAAAAATTACCTAGGCTAACAATGTAACATAATTTGAAATAATTTAGGATATTAACCTTCTAAAACCGGGCCGAAATTCTCATAATATAGCCTTCAGACCGGCGCGATCCGAAACAGTTTTGACCCCTCTTTGACATTTTCCTAATGAGAAAAGTCGTTAGTTCCCCTCCATGGATGAAGTAAAATTTACATGTTTATCGGACGCTTACGTCCCATAGTAGAGGGGTTGCTAGATTTGCAATTTTTTCGATGATTATTTTGCTTTCATTTAAATGAAGTTCTAAATAAATAGTGCATAAATAAATATGCAGTACTGGATGCATATCCAGTGCACGCTTTATTCAGAACAAAATGTATGCAATGTTTATATTTCACTCACTATTTCTAATCAATCTCGTAAATAATTTGAGAATTTTTTAACTTTGTTTTCACTCTTCATTTATATTCGCATATTTTTCGTATTAGAAATTAGAAAGCGAGAACGAGAACAAAAATTTAAAACAAATATAGTAAATACGGACTAGATTTGTAAGTCTGCAGGCTGGCTGGAATGCGATTTTTTTAATAACATATTTTCATTAATAAAAATACTGGTAATGACTAATTTAATGAAATAATAATAATAATATTTATTACCATTAGATGATTAGAATGAGATTCAATACAATTAGATTTTGAGATGAACTTACAGCAATAATAAAGCTTTACATAACAATAACAGAGATTTAAATCTGCTTTTTCAATAATTTGTTATTATAATATAAAAATCAAAATCCAAGATACATTGGTTGCGTTTAATCATTTAATTTAACAAATATTACATTGGATTATCAGGCAAAGAAGGTATATCTTTAACAAGAATTTTTCTTTGTAAAATTGGCTTTTGTTTATGTTAGCAGAGAAAAAAATCCGTGACCTATACATGCAATCATCAAAAGAATTTTGAGAACAGTTTTAAATGTTCATGAAGAATTAATTATGCGTCAATTTCTTTTCATAGGTAGAAATTTCGTCTAAAACCATTGTTATATCCAAAAGGTGAAGTCTACTTCATTTTCAACGAATATTCTATTTGCACATAATATATTTTCTAATTTATTTTAGAAAGAGTAATCTTTCACATTTTCAAAAGAATAAGGAAATACTGGGTGTTGACACAATGTAGTAAATCTGTTTTTCATATTTCTTCCAGTAATGAAAACGATTACCCTGGAATATTTTCAAAGCAAAATTAAGAAAACCGTTTACGCCAAATTTTGCATAAAGTATCTTCTCGTGTATTTTTTTATTTAAAGTGTGGAATTTTCTCTTTGAAAATATCAAAAATCATGAAGAGCAAAATTAATTCATGAGAAATAACTTTGAAATGCAATAATTCCATCTTAATATGAAATAGTGGAGAAAAGTGCAATACAGTTAATTTATTCACAAATAATCCCCCTCATATGCGTAATTTATGTATTGTCGATTGTAAGTTAGTAAATTAAACCGGTTATTTCAATACTTTTCCTTTATCAATATTTTTACGGGCTCTTCAGTAGAGCGGATAAGAGGTGGCTGAACACTTGTAGCTCACTTGGGTTTGAATCCCGGGCTAAATAGTTGGATTCACGGTTTTTGTGTAACGTAAATGCAAGCCAGCTTCTCTTTGAAAGTCCTCCGCGAAGGCATAACCCCCTTATACAGGTAATTGTTGTGTGCTTTGATGTAATTCAGTAAGCGAACAAAATTAATCCAATCAATACCGAACAGCGGGTTGATTACATGTGGAGTTTTCCACCAGGAATGTAAATGCAAGCAATTTTCTCTTAAAAAGGTTTACATGAAAGCATCCATCCCCTTAAGCAGATAGCGTTTGCGTGCTTTTCCGTAATCCAATCCTAATTTTCATACATTTAATAGTAAGTTGACATACACCTTATTACAGAAAAAATAACATTAACCTTTTTTAAAGATAAATTTTTTTTATCAAACTTTGTCTGAATTCCCTTTATCTCTTGAGGAGTATAAGAATTTCAGCAAATAAAACTGGCCGAAAGTTTTATAAAATGTAACTGATGTTTTGATTCAATTTAGAAGTAACGTGAGCTTTACTGATATTTAAATACTTTTTAGGCAGATCGTTCATCCTAAAAGAGGGTCTAAAGATAAATTGATTTTATTTAATTTACAATCAATGAAAATCATTGAAAGCCAATCATTAAACGAAATCACTGAATGAATGAAAATCACAAAAACTATTATGCATACAATTGTCTCTTATTTATCTCCTGATAAATCAGACAAAATTGCCTACGTAATAGAAGCACTTCAAAGAGTTAACAGTTTTTAAGGGTTTTATACACTCCCCCCCAAAAAAATGTCAAAATAAAATCTTATTATTCATAAGTATGAAAAGGAAGTAAACGATAAAGCGGTTTTACCTATTTTCTAGAAGGGCATTAAATCTAAAATATTAATCTATTCTTATTTGTTATGATTAAAAAACATTAAATATGTTAAATATGCTTAAAATATATTAAATATGTTAAATATGCTTAAAGAGCGTGCAAAATCGCTGATGTTTTAATCATAGCAAAAGTCGGTACTAAAAAAATTAGCATTAAAATTATGAGACAGATTGAGAAAGAGATGGCCTCTATTTAATTTTCAAGTATATTGGCGTGAGATGAAACCTGCGTTTTTGCCAAAATGTAGCCAAACTGATAAGAAGAGGGAAATAATGCGTAGCCAGAGGCTACTCTGAGCAGCGACAATGGACCACCCAAAGATCTACAGATAGGCAATTCTCTAAAATGGGGAAAGCATGGATGGTACGACAGTTGTACCAATGCCGGAATGTTGTGTCAATTGTGTAAAGAATGTATTGATCATTATGGATTGTTCCCTTCAACAGATTCCAGATAGAGATGCACAGAAGAGAACAATTTATACCAATGGCCCTGGCAGAACCCATTGGGACAAGGTAAGCAGTTTCGTTTTACCTTGATTAATTAGTTAGAAGTGTAAAATAACACTAATGATAGCATTAAGAGAATAAAATAATAATAACCTGTTTTATTACATCATACACAACTGGATAACCTTAAAAGAAAAATTAGACTTTTAATTTAAAATATGAGAAATTCAGTATTTATTAAGAGAGAATGAGCATTACACAACTATGCAAAACAATTACATTTTTTTTTTAAATTTTAAATAACAGTTTAATTTACAGAACTAGTTTACAATGTGAGGGGGAAAAAAACTATGCAGAACTAAATTACATTACAAGATTTAATGATGAAATTTCAGTTAAAAATAGGGAAAATAAATAATAATAAACCATATTTATTATATTCACTTGGCACCTAAAAATAAGTACAATTTATTTTTCCACTAATATTAATATTTAAATAATTTAAATCAAAATTCTGAACATTTTATAAATTTTCATTGTGTACCAGTTTTCTTTTAACAGATATTGCAAGCAAAGTAATTTAAGAAAAAATAAGTAAAAAAAAAGGAAAATTTCTGAAATCAGAGGACGGGAAATTGCTACATGCAGTCATCCTTTAACAGTAAAAACTTAGTTAACCAACATACTTGGAAATTGGCAAATATCTGAAAATTCCGAATATTCGAGCATAACTGGAAAAAGAGGCGGGCAGATTGTATCCATTCTTTAGATTTTTCAGCTAAATAATGCTTTTGACATTTCGATATGTGC